CAAAGATAATGGACAAGGTTGCTTTTGAGAAAACTGTGATCTGTCGGTAGAAACCTTTGCAGCCAAAGACTGAGGCTAATGATTGATCTGTAAGGCACTGATAAATGACATAATCTGTGGTGTGTGCTTTTGATCACTGAGTTTTCTTTGTCAATAAACATTTTAAGCAGAACCTAGTACTGTAGGATCATGGAGTAACTTCTGAGAACAGTATATATATTTAGTATATGCCACGCAAGTGAATAGTGCTTTTTGCACATGCTGATTTGAAAGTTGAGAAGTGAATAGGAAGTACTATTCACCCCTAAGGAGTGGATGAGACAAAATCGCATATCAAAAGATTAATTTTCTGACCATTTTTCAGTATTGTGATGCAAATAAGCTAGTTTTTCATATCTGTGTTGTTTATTATAAAACAATTATTCATCCTGATGCAGTGTCTGTGAAAGTGGTGGATATTTACCTTGCAACTTTGGAAATATGCACTATTATTATCCAACTGCACAAAGAAGACAACAAATAATGGGTGAATAGAGTACAAATATCCTGTGATATTGGATGGTTGTTTGGACAGTTGGTTATTTTGTACTGAAAATAAGCCTGTTTAACCAGTCAGCTGTGTGTGCTACACTTCTCTATCTACTTTGCTTTTCCTGCCTTATGAGAAAAGAGCAGAAAGACTTAGCAGAAAAAAAAGCAGTTGGATAATAAATAACTTATTAGACGTTTTGGTGTTTAGTATCGCTGAGTATTTTTACTTGTTTGTATTTTGAGTCACCCTACGTGCTTGTTAAAATATGGCACAACTTGCAAGAATACTCGGCAATACTACACACAAAAATGTCTAATAAGATACATCTATTTACCTCCACCTCAGTGAATAATTATTGTAGAATATTGTGACAAATGTGCTGATGAGACAACACCTATTGGCACATACTAAACATGAATGTCTGATTGTCCACCTGGTTGCCGTGTGAACTTTAATATATTTCATGAATGACATGTATCGAATATCTTATGCAGTGCAAGAAATGAAGGAATCTCTTCTTATATTGATATGGACAGAAAGCTGCAGAAATTTTGCCCATTTTGGAAATCTGTTCCATTTCTGGTGTAAATTTGATTGTTTCTTTTAGAAGGGGGCCAAACTCAGATACCCCCTCACCTCTAACAGTAGAGGTGAGGGGGTGGTACTTCCTCAATACTACTTTTAGTGGTTTTGTCTATTTAGTAAGTACATACAGAATTATTTCTTTGTTTCAATTTTTAGGTAGTAGCGTGACTTTTTCAGGCCTTTCGTTCTTCCGGCTGCAAATACCCAAGAAGTACATTCCACTTTTGTCTCTAAGTATGTGTTAATATAAGGGTTTTATTAATATATGAGATATCAAAAGTTCATTTTCCTTTTATATCATGACTGAAAATTCACTCTGAATGTATATATAATACAGTTGTATACTCACAAGAATGACAAAATTGGAAGAGTATGGGTGTGATTTCATGAAAAGCATCATTTGCTTATCATAATAACAGAAAAAGCACACATTTGAGTTGTACTTAGTTTGATTTGAAACATACTCAGTAACTTCTTGTTTCACGGCATTATATAAAGTTGCACATGTTCTATGCAAATTACTTTTCAATCCTCATGAACTTCCATTCCAACAAAATGATGAAGTTTAATCTAAGATCCAAGTGCTGTTTGCCAATGCTGGTTACCATTAACTTCGTCACTCAGTGTAACAGGCTGTGTTTAGGCATATTTTAAAGATGATTCTGTCTATGGAATGTAATTTTCCTCTTTAATTAGATATGCCTCACAGCATATCAGTTTTGTTCTTGAATGTGCTAGTCAACTGAAAAACTTACTTTAGTCTGTTTTAGATAGAAAACCCATGAGTAAGGGGTTTCTTTTGAGCTCAGAACCTCATGTATTCCCTTAGTAATAACCCAGTTTAAGAATATTAAAGAAATCACAGGACATAAACAACTTTTATTTCTGGAAACCTACTGCTCTAAGCATGAAAAATATTTTTCCTCATATTTGAAGTATATTCATTTGTCTCATAATGTAATCACATCTGATATGGATCAGAATTGTTTACAATGTGAGAAAAATGATTACACTTCATGTAAAAATGTAGTCATTAAACTGACAAGGCACAGCCTTGTTTTTCTTTTCTTCCTTTAAGATTGACATTCTTTTTTTGTTTATAGCTGCTGGAGCTTGCTCTGGTTGGTTTGTTTCACACAGAATTATGAGGTCTTCCTCTCCATCTGATGTGGGTTCTGCTGTTCCAGACATCAGTCAGCCATTAAGTAAGTTTAGGTAACCTTTTGTTAAACTTCTAAGTTACCACCTTTCTGTTATTCATGAAAGAAAATTTCCCAGTCCATAATGGTTTGCTTTAGTCCTTCTTCCTCATTTTGTGCATGACCTTTTGTTCCAGGCCCTTGCTTAGTGGTCCTACATCCAAAGAGACAACCACAAACCTATTAGGCTTGGCTAATATAAGAGAAAAAGTCTCTTTTAAGAAATTTTCATTTAATTAAGAACAAGAAACTACATTTAATGTTCCATCTGACTGACACCTTAAATTGGTTTCCAACCAAATACAAAATGTGTAGAAAATTAAGAAAACTGCAAACCACAAAGGGCAAAAAAAACTTAAAAACTAAAAAATTTTTTTTATGGGAGGGCAAAATACAATTTCAAAAGAGGCCAGTCTGCACAACCAGTATAATTTTTGATCATAATTTTTTGTTTTCTTTTGCTGTAAAGAAATTTTTAATAAATGTGCCTGTATTATTTATGTGCAAATTGCATTCAATTTTCAGATAATTGTTTATTTAATTCAGATACTAATTTTTCATTTTTTGTCATTAAAAATGTAGAGAACAATGCATCGGCTATGCAGGAATCAAAATTTGGAGACAAAGACTTCATTAAAGAGTGATATATCAGCTGTGGTTTACCATGGTGTCCCTGTCTATCAATTGTAGAAAGGGGTGTTTTAATAATTAAATATATGGATCGTTCATAAATGTTTGAAACAATCAACCTTTTTTGTTATAATGTGGATTGTACATTAATGTAAAAAAAAAAAAATCAATCTTTTGCCAATGCCATAACATCAGAATGTTGTGTTACAGCAGAATGAAAGACTGACTCAGCACAATACTTAGTTTTGTTTATGTAATTGTGTTCAAGTTAGTCACTCTGTCTAAAAGCAACTATTCATAAAAAAACATGGAGGTGATGGAAAGGCAATTGTCAGGCCCTGGCGGTTAAAAGGGCAGAGGCAGGAACAGAAGGGTTTATTGTCATGCTACACTTTGGGAGAAAACTTAATTGAGCTATTTGAGGCTAAGTCTTTAAATTTGTTGGGGCCCTTGAACACACCTTGGAATTTCCTTCTTTGGTTTTGTTAGGCCAACATTATCTCTCCCTAATTTTACTTGTGTGAGAATTCAATGTTTTTAGAAAAATTGGAGTAACTAACCACAGAGGAAATTTTTCAAATACTTAAAGAAACTACTACACGAACCTGGGGGGCAATTACAATTTTAGTCTTTGAAAGGATTTAAGAGTATTCTCCTGTTTTCATTGTGTGGATTAAAGACCTTCTTTCTATGAATACCTACATGTACCCAGTGTTGTTTGTGGTCTGTTCAATAGCAGAGGTGAGGGGAAGTCAACCTTTGTTCATATCCTGTCTTTGGTAGAGAAAAAAAACCTTTATTGGCCAAGATGCACAACTTCATTGCATAAATGCCCTGTTATTTATAGGTTGGAATTGACATCTTGGGCTTGTTATTCTTGCATTTTTCAGATCTTCTATGTCTTTTGTGATAATTATAAAACATTATGAGTTTACTTGTTTCCCATTCCTGTTTTAAACTTGCATATTCAGTCATTTTCCATTAAAGGCCTAATATGGAACAGTTTGTTATGGTAATTGATGAAGTTTGTTGCTGAAGTTGCATGAATTCAAGAAATCCCAAGATCATGTGGCATTCAGCCAGAGTGCAAATATTGGGAAAAATACCACTTAAAGTCAAGACTTCCTTCATTTGAGAACTCAGCACTGTTATGTAGAAGTGAGAAGTTACTGCCTTTCACTTAAAATGACTGACATTTAGCCACATTCTTGTATTTATTGGTAGAGTAGGAGACAATCAAAAATTAAAGGAAACAAAGGGAAAAAAAATAGCCAAACTAGAAATATAGATTGACCCCAAACAAAAAGGAAATGGTGGTGAAGGAGGTAGGAGGGGTGTCTCAAGTCCCTTTAAACCCTAAAATGAGTGTTATTCGTTGGGAGGAGACCATGTGCTGCTATCATACAAAACCTATTTAGTCCAGATAGGCTCCCTGTTCAAGAAACTAAATGTGAAATTTTACACCCTGTTTCTCTGTTCACTGGCATAAACCAGTTTAGGCTGAATGAGGAGGGTACCCCTCCCATTGAGACTGATACAGTAAAACATTTATAGATATTGTGTTCCTTTTCCCACCATACCCTACTTAGGTTCAAATTAATGTGTATCATCACCATTACCTCAGTACAGTACATCACACAAGAAACACAAGAAACTTATCTTGAACAAAAGAAGCCTTTTATCATGATAAAATGGATAAAATGAATAGATGCAGATTTGTGTGGGGCTTTAGGCAATGCGGGAAAGTGAAATTTCAACAGAGTAAGATGAGGGTATAATTCAAAACTGAAAACTTTCCTTGTTAGATGGATGTTAATAAAGATTACTTGCAGTAAACACTTAACACTACAATCCATCCCAGCATGGCACAGAGGAAAATCTTTTGCCACAACCACTCTATGTATGGTCAAAATCAAAATTGAACAACGAGGTAGACTCAATGTCTGGAAATACAAAGAGATAATAAGACGCACTTTTGGGTGCAGCGTAACAATACTGACCTTATTCCAGATTTCAATCTCACTTCCGGTGCATTCCGCAAGGGATCACGGGACTAAGCTTTCAGTTTTGTAGGAAGTAGCGCGGATTACAGTCGCTGAAGAGAAAAGCTTGCCTATATTTCCATCACACCACTCTATGATAGTCTTTGGCTTCTGGAACGTGTTATAATTCAGTTCTCTCGATCTCCTTCCCGTGGCATGTGACGTTTTGAGCGCGCACAAATCTTTTCACTGTGAACGACTTGTGGTGAAGGTATGCGGTAAAGTAAATAGCTTAATGTGCCGTGTGTTCTTTCAGGGTGGTATATTTTTACCCTTTAATCTTTGAATAAGCCCCGTCTTTGGAAGCCATATGCTAGAAGATACTTGATCAACTACAGATGCGCAGAAAATCAAATTTGGCTTTTGCTTGCTCGCTTCTACTTTTGATCTCACTTCCAGCTGTTATCCCCTTGTGTCGACTTTTTGTCTTTCATGAAGTTTTTTAAAGTAAATAATATAGATCACATTCTTGTCACAAGATGCTGGTGTTAAAAACAAAACCAAAATACTTGCAGTATTGTTAAACAAGTTTTTGTTCGTAAAATGCTTAGCGCGTTCAAAAACAAGTTGACATAAAATCAATTTGTTCTTTTGCCAATATTGACGTTTACCTACAGGAGGCTTAAAATGCCCAAATTGAAGTGCTTCAGTTGGCTTTTGTTTCTGACCGAAGTTGTCCTGAAACTGAGAGTTTTTGTTATTGTTTTTTTCCGTTCTCTTCTCGGGATTATCTCGTGCGAGGAAGATTGTCTCTGAAACTATTTTGGGTTTAATTCCCATGCTTTTATTTGCACGAACAAGAATCATGTTTGCGTGTCTTGCGTTGAAAAAACGTTAAATTGTAACTTGCTAATTGTAACCGCGAATATTTCATTTTTCTGTGAGAGTCATGATAAGTGCCACAAAACTTATCTTATTCACTGCATATTTATATTTGTTCACGGCTTTATCTGACCTTAAACTGATCTAATCGAGGGTTTAAAGGGATTCGAGAATGAAGCTGACTCTTTCAACATAAGCAATCTTCCTAGAGCCCACAACGAGCAAATAGCACTCTGTGGAAATTTTAATTTTGTATTCAAGAACACAATATTATTCGGAAAATATTTACTCTGAGAATTTGCGTGTGAAGAAGTCGACAATTTTTACAGCTTCAATGTGAGCGCACGAAAATGAAAGTTTCTCATGCGAAAAGAGGTCAACAAAGGTGGAATACGATTTGTTGGTGATCATATTATTTTGGCGAGGACTTAACGATGGTAGTTATATTGTTTTGGTTTCTTTTGGGTTCTCGCCCACCATTTCATGGAGAACGAGGTTATTTATAGCAGTGGTGTTACCTCGTTCACCTCCTTAAAAGGGAAATTCTGTATGTTTATGATTATTCATGAATTTTCAGCTGACGTTATTTATGCTTTCAAACGTATTGGATGACTCTAATTACCCTGGTACACAAATTAACAAACCAAGTCTATCCCTCTCGTCAGATCTTCACATCTGTCTTTCCCAGACATTTTTAAGGAAACATACAAGTCACTACGTGTTTTTATCCGTATTCTGATATAAGCTTTAGTCACTTAGTACTCTGACATCATGAAATCAAGGATAAAGAATGTTTTATTAAAGAAAAGTTACTGTTTGCTTTTAATTACTTTTTTTAATTTTAACATCTTACATCACCTCAGAAATTGAAATCAAATGTCAGAATGATGTCATACCAGCACATTGATAAAGAATGTTCAAGGGAAGGTTGAATCATAGAATTTACTTTTAGGTTGTTCATAGCGAATGCGTATTGTAATGTAAGATTCTTGGGCTCAAAAAATTATATGAATGGGAGAAATTTTGGCCTGGATTCCAGATTCCACTTGTCTAGATCAGATTGCAGAAATAATTGTTAGTCTCTGGTCTGCCTTTGGGCTTTTCTGCACTTGCGAAAACTAGAATTTTCCTGACAAAATCAAGGGACAAATTTTGCCATGACAAATTTTCATTTCCTCTGTTGCATCTGCATTGAAAATTTCAAAGCTGTAAAATTCTGTCAATATTTGGTCTGTTCATAAGACTGGCCAGCATAGTTTGTCAAAGGATTCCATCTCTAGTTTCCAGGATTTATCCTAGGTCATTTTAAAATTTTAGAATCCCTGAGTCGTGCAACTTGAGGCAATTTTAACCTTTCTAGTAAACAGATTTCAGTTCAATTACATGCTGGTAGTAGCTTTTACTACAAATGATCAATTTTATCATGGTTTTGTTTGTTTATTCAATTTTGTCTGGTTTTCACCTGGGACAAATTATGTTACTGGTGCGTTGAGGACTTGTCTGCTCTGGCCAAAATCTGTCAAGTTGCAACAAATCATCCCACTTGTGAATGTTCACAAGGACAGAGAATTCGTCTAAACAAACAACTTTTCGGCTAGAGCGTAAAGGCCTTTTGTCATTATGTCAATGTTTGTCAGCTTTGTTCTGCTGGTATTTGTTAGTATAAGTAGACCTGTTGATAAGGACCAATAATAATAAAAATAATAATAGAATTTGAATACTGTATGATTTATCCTGGTTGACTATGGAGCAAGAAGGGATCACTGCTTTAAAATGTTCTCAGAACAGGTTGTCAAGGAGGAAAATTGCTTGTGAGAAATGTTGTGGGACATCTATTTTTAAGCAAAGTACATGTTTTACCAATAGAAATATGAAATCCCTTCCAAAATGAAATGAAGCCTTGGGAGAAAGAAAAAGAACAATTTTTGTCATATTATGTGGTCTTTGTACCACTAAATCTTTCATAGAGCAGTTCAAGCTTACATATTATCTGTTAGACTTGGTTGGAATTTGACATGGCCAATTTGACACAACTAATTGCATGTCTACGAACAGTTTAAGTAGGTTGTTCAATGGCAGTTCAACAATTTCTTGGGAAGCAGAGGCAAAGTAGGAGGGGGAAGGAAGGGGAGAGTTCTTCATTTTCCAAGCCAAACCCCACTGATATTTTGGAAAATTTCTAATTTTAAGTTTCTTAATTTGTAATTTCAATAGTGTCCAATACACAAACATTGCTAATTGATGTTTGACCTCCTTAGTACCTGTTCAAGTACAAGCTAACTTTTATGAGGTTTTTTATTTTGTTCATTATGTTTGCAATGAATCAATTTGTGAAAAACTTGCAAGGCTGAACATTTTCCAGTTTTGCTATACTTTTGTAAATTTCTATTTCAAAATGTGGGGCCCTGCCCCTCCTAATTTCAAATTTGGAGGAGTTTTAGCTTCCTTTGCACCTCTCTTGTGCTCTACAACCTACTGAATAGTTGATAAAAATATGATAACAGAGACGCAAGTTAGGCTTGATTTCTGTCATTCTTTAGAGCCCAGTTACAATGTATCTCTCCTCCCAGAGAGGACTGTATAGGATAGCAGCCCACCATGTCTGATTTAACCATCTCCAGACATTATAGTTTCAAATAATTGTGGTTCATATATTTCATTGGCTTTTGATATATTAAACTATTTTGATTTTGATGTTTCTTTGTCTTGTATCTTGACTGTCATTGTCTTGAAAATATATAAGGTTTGGGAAAGTATGAAGAAAGCAAATATTGAATTACAAAGAATGCTAGACTTGGAATATTTTTTAATGAAGAAAAATGTTTAAAAATATACACATACTCGAGTGTGGGCAAAAGTGAGGTTATAATATGTGAGAATTTTACCAAATGTGTTTGTGTTGATTTGAAGATGTTAACATTCATGCAATCTTGATAAGTGTTGATACTTGGCTTTCAGAAAAAAATGTGTTGTTAATACTTGATTAGTAAGACAGTAATTAATTGATAAGCAAAACAGCAACATACTTACAAGGAATCTTTTAAAGCTTGGAAACAACTTTATTACCAAATGTTACTTTCTTTTGCATATTATTTGGTTCAGTTGTGTTTGAAGAAGTGAAAAACAGGAAAACTGTTGTCTTTGAGGCAGGAAATTATGCATGTAGGGTATTTGGTGAGGAATGTGATCTATTTTGGCTTTTATTCAAAGCATCAGTCGCAATTTTTCTGTTTATTTAGTAGTTATGTAAGACTGCTTTGTGACTAATTCTTGTCTACTGTGTCAATTTTATTTTCTCTGTAAACAGTGTTTATGTGGATTAAGGTGGATTTGAATACCATGTAACACACAAAGTATTTGTGTTCAGTTGTATTTTTGTTTTTGTTTTGCTACTTGCAGAATGGTGTGATTATTATAAGGCAAAGATGGATGTTTCTTTGTGGAGTGTGTTACTTTTGACAAGTGTCTTTTTTCTGTCTGGAGGATGTCATGAAGGTAAGTTCTGTTTTGGATCATCTCAGACAACTAATTGCATTGTATTCCCAGTCCTAATTGTATGTATTCACTTAAATGCAGCTTTCTTGATATTAAAAGATGAATAGTACATCAATTAGACCTGTTTTCCTCTGCAAAGTGCAATACATGTGTGGTTTGACTAATTAAAAACAGATACAGATGTTTATGTATGGCTCATGAAAGGGAAACATGTGAGCAACAAGTGAACTTGACATTGTTCATGCAACACATAACTTCGTTTACTGCTGGCTATTTTAATTAGGAGGAAGGACCAGGAAGGAACCTCCACCTCACTGAATTTAATGAATCAAAAGTGCCTATGAATTAAAACATTTTCGGCCAATTCTTGGCCAAGGAAAAAAAAACAACAACAAAAAAAAAGAACAAAGAAACACATGGCCAATGCTACACTGAATCATAATTTTAAGAGAACATTTTTGTTTTGGGGTCTAAAATAATCCCTAAGAAGTCCTGAGAACTGGTACCTATGAGCAGCCCTTATGACATTACAACCCATTCAAATCCATTTGCCTATTTTACTGAGCACGAGTCAAGTATGGGTTGATATTACTTAGGTTTATTGTTATGCAAGTGTGTACAAACAGGCTTAACTGTTTCACTCCCAAGATCTCATTTTCCTTAAAGTCTACAATAACAATTGTTATGATGTTGATTAGGAGAATTTGGTATTGGATCAACTGATGATCCCTTACTTTATATTTTTCTTTATTCTATACCTTTTCTGCTTAATATTGCATTGATATTGTAAGGAGAACTTCTGTCTTGGTCACTCATGGGAGGTAGAAGGTTAACAGTTTTTACAAAATGATGTTCTTAATAAGGCAGTATGGTTGCAATGGTTGGCTCCTATCTTTTGTTTGGCTTTAATCCTTTAACTCCAAAGATCAGATTGTGATTACTTCCCTCTAGCTGCTATTCATTTCCTTGTAAATTCAGTTACAAGAATTTGGTGTTATATCAATTAAACAACTGCTGACTGATATGTCTGAGTATTCTCATTACCTGTTTGCTGCATGGTGTATGGATATTATAGGGAGAAGTTGCACTTTAATCACTTCTGGGAGTGAAAAGGTTTACACAATTAAGCTCATATTTTGTCACTAGGCTGCTCCATGACAGCTTGAAAGCAATACCAGAAAACTTATTTTCTGCTAGTGATAGATTTGATTCTCAGGTGCAAATCATTATTTCATTATCAAAGCATTTGATTGGGAAGTGATGATCCTCATCTCTTTTTGCACAGGCCTTAGGAATGAAAGCACATCTTACATTTGTATTGTGCAAGGGTTCATTAAGCTATCGCCTCAAACCTGCAAACATGAATCTCTCTTCTATTATAATTATAAATAGTTATATGACTGAATACATTTCTTCAAAATGATTGGCCAAGAGTACTGCACATTTTTGGAATGAGAAAACTTTAAAAATAGTAAAAGAAAAGGCAAATTTCATTCAATAGGTACTTCAAAAACAAAATCTGAGTCCTATATAGTTGAGTTTTGTAGGTACAAACCTTTTTTGAGAGTATCTCACCTTGGTAAGGATACTTTGACAAATATAGTCAAGGACACATGTACTGTATCAGTTTTAAATCAACAAGCCATTTTTGTGGCTGCCTCATGTAGGAGGCAAAGCCACTCATGTCATCAAAGTTAGTGAGATATTAAGAATTTTTTGCTGTGTCATGGCAAAAACTGAAAAAGATTTTATCTTTGGATTTACATAATTTGTTCATTTAAAGGGTAAAATATTCTCCCCTCATTGAAAATTTTTTTTTTAAGTTTCATGGTATTTTTGCAATGAAAACTTTTGTTTTGTGTCACATGCAATCCTGAAATGATTGCAGGACATTTATCATCTTCTGCTGTCGTCTGTAGTGTCATGGCAAGCACTGAAAACATCAATGTGCTCGTGGCTATAAGCCAGAAATTACAAAAGGAGAGAACTCAACTGTGTATTTAGTGTGAGTGTAAACCTACTAACTAAGATACACTGAAACAAACAATAAGTAGCACTGGGAGTTGTCAATGCCATCTCAGTGAAAAGGATGAAAGCCACAGAGAAGGAAATGACATAATTTGATGGTAGATATCTTTGAAATTTCACCTATATATAGAAAAATTTAGCCCAAGATCAATAAAAGAATAGCTACAACAAGTAAAATAAGAGTCCTTACAAAATTGTTATTATTCTCTGCAGATTGTTTGTTGCCTTTGGGAATGGAAGATGGTCGTATCAAGGATGAAAACATTCGTGCAAGGTCTTTTCTACCACTGGCTAGTCCTACTAATGCTAGATTGAATCATTCTGAAGAATATGGAGGGTGGTGCCCTGATCAGATGCAATATAAAAATAAAACAGCTCCAATTAATAGAGAGTTCATACAAATTGAGTTTGGCACTCTTTTACGAGTCAAAGGAATTGTGACACAAGGTCGTGCTAATGGAGCTGAAAGAGTGGAGCAATACTGGTTTAGTTATCTTGGATCAGAGGGGACATATGAGTGGTATCTTGAGGGCAACAGCCACAGATTGGAGGTATGTGCCAATAAAATACCAGATACCTTTGATACAATTTTATATGGATTAAATATGAGCAACACAATGGGAAGCTATTAAGGGGCAACACAGTAAAGTGGTTAGAAAACAGGCAGCTGTACTTGTAATCTGGTGGCTGCAAACTCAAGCCCTCCCCCTTGCCACTCACTGTATTTTTCCTCATCTCTGCAGTGTAACCCAGAATCAGCAGGTATATTGCTATGGAATTGTTTGTATTTTCAGAATAAGTGACTGATTGTGTGAAACTTTGTTTGAAAAATGTTGAGTGATTATTTGATTCCAATGCTTTGGTCATACAGTTGTCATTGCCATAAATAACAATTGCTCAGATTGAGTTTTCCTGGCCTAGGCTTCCATTTTTATTGAACACTCCCACATCTCATCTAATTTAAATGATTATGTGTTTGGTGACCTTCTTTGACTTACATTTATCACTTCTTTGCAGATCTTTGAAGGTAATAGTCAGCAGAAGCCTCAGAAAAAAAACATACTGAGGCCACCAGTTGTAACAGGTGCCATCAGAGTTCATCCACAGATATTTCCAGAAAAACAAGTTTGTCTGAGGCTTGAGCTCCTCGGCTGCTCACTGAAAAATGGTAATTGAAGAAGTGTTACAGTTTTATTATCCTGTACTCATCTGATCTTTCATTTGATACACAGTGTGGGAAGTCTTTTGTATAGCAAATGTAGTGATAGAGCTTCACATCAACCAATGAGCCAGCTAACTTTACCTTTGAATAACCAGCTTTGGTTTTTGGTTTTTCAAATTTTTGCTCACAAAATTATCTTTTGCAGCCCTTATCCTAGATCAACAATCAAAATAAACTTTCCAAAATACTCAACTGAATTTTGTTAACTCTGGCCATCTGCTCTTTGTGTCAATCAATTTATTTTGTGAATAATAGGTCACCAGAAGGACACATCACACACAAGAATTTTAGCACCCACAAACTTAATTTAAACATTGAGGGTTCCAGCAGCAAACTTTAATTTTTTTTTTTAACTTTTAATCATTTACACCCCAACATCAGTATGCATATTATCCACACTGTTCTTTATACATTTCCTGAGGTGCTGACAAGGAGAATTTGTGTACCAATCAAAAGGTTCCTTTCCTGGTGACCATTTCCTTTATTCTCATGACCTTTAATGTGTGATTCAGTAGTGATATTGTAGGGAGAAATTAGATGCTAACCACTCTTAGGGGTTAAAGGGTTAAACAAATAATCTTTATAGAGTATACTAGGTTCACAAAAAAGTGGTTTACAAAAGGGTCCCCCTAAAAAGATGAAAATCTAAAAAACTACCATCAATAATTATTGTAAATAGGATAAATAAGATAAGAAACCAGTTAAAAGGCAAAGTTTCTTGTACTGTTGTTTTTTTTCCATAAGAAAGGTATCATAAATTTCACCAATGCTTTGCATGAATTGGTTTAAATAAGTTTCCAGTTCAATCTACTTTATTCACTGCTGGAAAGAAACAAAACAATTCATTATGGGCATGCCTTATTGTAGTTTTACTTGCCCGTTGAAGGCACTTGGGTGATTGCTGGTGTCAAACACTTGATGAACCTCAGTATCTTAAATCTTTCTTCAGAAACACTTCAACTTTATTTTCTGACTAGAATTTAGGCGTTGTAATCTTCAATTGTTCAACTGTTGCAGTTATGGTCAAAATATGGGATGATATTTCTTTTTCTTTTTGCCTCATGACTGGTTTTCCAACTTGATTTAACTTGAATTTCCTTTCACTACTCAGGAATTGTCTCATATGAGACTCTTCAAGGTAATTTGATGAGAGAGACCTACAATTTCACTGATTCAAGTTATGATGGTTTGGTCAAAGACAACTCCTTGTTCGGCGGCCTTGGAATGCTAACTGATGGTCATCTGGCTCCTGCTGATTATGCCAACACTAGAGGAGTGGGTTGGATTGGCTGGAATGCTGAGGATACTCCAGATCCATACATCAGGTTTCAGTTTTTGAACACAAGAATCTTTCATTCAGTGACCATTCACTGTAATGTCAGGGATGAAGCAGATGTCCAGTTGTTTTCTAACGTTACAATCAGATTTGGTGAAGATGTTGCTACATTTGACAAGTCACTGTCTTTCAAACCAAAGCAAATTTCAAGTGGGCTAGGATGGAAAAACTACAATGTCACAATTGACTTGTGCAAACATGTTGGGAAGTTCATGGAGTTAAAATTTACTCATGTTGGAAACTGGATATTGATCAGTGAAATTTCTTTCAATTCAGGTAAGTTTTTATGTTTTTTTTTTGAAAGGCATATCTGAACTGTTTCCTTCCATTGTTGTGAGCACAATGCCTCTTCAAGGGAGAGATTTTATTTTTGCCCCTTTTGGGTTTGATGATGTTCTACAGCATGATATTTTAGTTAACCAAGTGTGTTATTATTATTGAACAGCTCCCAGTTGGTTTGTTAGCTCAGTTGGTAGAGCGCAGTGCACTGGTATTGCAGAGGTCATGGGTTCAAATCCTGTACGGGCCTGAATTTTTTTCAGGTCTTATTTCAATTACTAGTTCAATAGTGTTCATAGCTGTGAGGATCTCTTATATTCGTTTCTTCACTGCAGTGCACATATATGATTTTCATATATCCACAATCATTATTCATCAGCTTGAGCAATATTTGCGCAATATGTGATACACAGGCAAGGCTTTTTCATTTTCATTCTATTCTTTGTGTGCCATTCACCACTCTGCTTGCTTCAAAACTATGTTTCAACATAAGCATTTGTGTTTGAAATTTTGCCAGCCAGCAAAGCTGTGCTTTCAGACTATTGAGCTCGATTATATATACTTGGCTATCTAACTGACTTATTTTGAGTGCATTATATTTTGCACATCATTTTTATTGTGTCCTTTATTCCTCTTGAACTGATTTAAGTATTTAATTATTCAGTGGAATTAAATAAAAAACGTGAGAGGAAATTGAATGCTCATGGAACTGAGAAAGAAGTGAGACCTTAGACCTTACTTCTTCTATATCAATTTTTGCTTAGGTTGTATTTTATGTTAAAGTATTTTCCTTTTGTTTAAGCTAATAGTAGTCTTTGTGGTGAGTTAATTTGCTGATATAATGCACATTCTCATACCTTTTTTTCCAGATCCTCTTGGGAAAATCTCGCCTCCATTACCCAAATGTGCTTCCATTCCCCCTTTGTTCACAAGACCTCCCACTGGTCTAATAAACGATATCAGCACTAGCAGTCCATCAGATGGTGTTAAAGGAAAGACAGGTATGATACTGTCTGCGCTTTCCTACATCCTAGCACCTACCTTACTCGCTGTCGTTAGGGAGGGAAGTTTATTAAATAAGAATCAGAAGTGTGGTGATTAGCACATTCTACGTGGTGAGTGACTTTCAAAACAACCCCCAAAAAAGTGAGCAAAATAAGGCTGACAGTGTGCTATATTTCCCGTTTCCATGACGCAGTGGGAAAGAGCAGAGCCATCTGCTTTCCTCACACGACTTAGCCGGTGACTTAGCAGATTTGGACCCCCTCTCCCAAGACCATTTCAGATTTGGACACTACCCCCCCCCCGATTTGGATCTCCGAGTCCATTTTGACCTTTGGTTCAAATGCGCAAGCAGAAATGGACCCCGGGGTCCCTCGCTAGCTTCGCCGATTTGGACCACCTCCTCCCCTGTAAAATACAAATGGTCATACTGCTAGAGTAGACATGCAAAAAATACTTGAGAAAAGATATCAACCGGAACTCTTTTCTTCGATATTTAGGAAAAGGGACTGTCACTGGAAACGGTTCTTTGAGCGGTGGTGTAATAGCGGCAATCATCTGTGCCGTCGTAGCAGTCCTTGTGGCTGTTGCTTTGTTCATTTGCTGCAAGCGTTACCCTCATTGGTTCTCTCAGCGTGAAAAGCCATTCAACTCCTTCATCAAAGTCGAAGTTAAGCCGTACGCGCGTCACCATACGCCGCAGCGCGTTTCTCGACTTGATAGTACAGCAAGTGAAAACGAAGAAAAGAGGTACAGCTTCAAGAACAATGTGTACAATGAGGCGGGGGGAAAGCGTGGTGCAGAGGTTACCATATGTCCTATATATGCTAGTATACAGGGTGATCTGAACAAAGGCACTATGAAAAGCGACGAACAGAACAACATACCAAAGGGTGAAAGACTTTACTCTGAACACAAGTCTTCAAAGAAAGGTGTGTATAGAAAATATTAACCCTTTATCTGCTGGAAGGAATAAGTTTCTTCCCTCCACGATATCAGGACATTATCCCATAATGAATTGATGAGTAGCAAAAAACTGAACTGCGGGTGGTATTTTGAAATATAAACCAATTCTCAAAGCTGAGTTACGGGGAACTATGTTAACGGTGTTGCCAACCAAATAAAATTTGTTTGTACGTTAGTAATTCAAATCTCCTTCCCACTGCGTTCGCGTTCCTTACAACACTCGCGCGGAAGGCCATGTTTTAAGTGAAAAAGAAAGGCTGTGAATACTCTATACTGTTCATCATCTATTTTTGTCCTTGTCTCTTTGCAGTCAAACCTCCCATACCACCCCCACTGAAGCCGCCTGAGCCTCTTTCAGAGGTAATTTACGCCGAACCTAACACTCCTCTGTTACCTTCACCAACAAATGGTGGATCTCCCAAAGCCGCAACAGCCCAAAGTCTTCCTCAAGTAGACGTAACAGAGGAATCAGATGTTGCATATAATGACTATGCCGAGCCGGACTCCCCATGTGAAAAAAATCGCTTGATACCGGATTCTCCCAAACCTAGAGTTGTTAGCGGGTATGCTGATCCTATCGATGTCATTTCTCCCACATCAGTGACTACTTTCCCGAATCCTATTTACGAGGAGATTTACTCCGAGCCATTTCAGGGCGTATCGGGCACCAGTTTGTATTGTAATCCTGACGAGGAGCTAAACTTTAGACCCAGACTGGACACATTCAAGGAACTGCCTCGTCACAAGCTTCACTTCAAAGAAAAGATCGGTGATGGACAATTCGGTGAGGTGCATATTGGAGAGGTTGAGCGATTGGGAGACATTCTGGGCGGGGAGTTCAAAAACAGTTCTCGTACAACAGTGGCCATTAAAACTCTCAAGCTGAACGTTGATAAGAACATTAAGGATGATTTCTTTAAAGAAGTGAAAGCCATGGCGGGGCTGAAGCACTCAAATGTGATTCGGTTGTTAGGTGTGTGTCGGGATGATCCCATGTGTATGATAGTTGAGTACATGGCCAATGGCGACTTAAATCAGTTCCTGAAAGAAAAAGAGCATACGCCCAGCTTGAATGAAAGCGAGGGGTGGCAAGATGCCGGACAGTATATCTCTTCTCAAGCTCTGTTTTACATGGCAAAGCAAGTGGCCGCAGGAATGAAATACATATCTTCGTTAAATTATGTGCATCGTGATCTGGCCACGCGTAACTGTTTGGTGGGACACGCAAACACCGTCAAAATTGCTGACTTCGGAATGTCAAGGAACTTGTACTCTAAACACTATTATCGCGTCGAGGGACGTGTGATTTTGCCAATACGATGGATGGCGCCCGAATGTATTCTACAAGGTAAGAGGTGGTGGCATAGTATACCACGAGTCCTCGGATTAGTGCCTGGGGTTTATCTCGAATTTAGGGTAAGACGGGGGGTTCAGATGTGATCGTTTTTTGTGATACAGCGTCAACGACAGCAAAAGCGGTGTATTGATACTAACAGCAGATTCTTAAGTTTCACAGCGGCTCAATTTTCAATTGGGACTCGTAATTAGTTCTCTAAACTCAAGGTGTTTACCAAGTGGATCATATTCGGTATAACTTTGCAAGGGTGGACGAAATTGAGGAAATTCGCCGTTGTTATACGTTTGTTATTGTCTGAGCGTTTGGCCATTATACTGTGGGAGCAAAGGAGGTAGTTATTTTAGAGGGGGTGGGGTGTATATTTTGAATTTTGGTCGATAGGAGAGGCACTCGTTCGATGGGAGGTGTTAATATGGAACGGTAATTTAGGTGGTTGGTTACGACCAATTTTACAGAGAAGCGTGAGGTTTACTGAGATCGGACGATATTTTCTGAAAGAAAACGAGACATGCCGAGGATGGGCTCCAGGGAACCCTTACGACGCATACCAGAGGCGCACAAGTTTCAACTAGAAAATGCGGAGGAGAAAGAGATTCATCTCACGTGTTTTTTCCTTATTTCATTTACATTCATTTCACATATGTGTCGATATTTTCAGGTCGTTTTACAACGTCTAGTGATGTGTGGGCGTTTGGAGTCACTCTATGGGAGATACTCACTCTTGCTAAAGAATATCCTTACTCGGAACTCACCGACGAGGAAGTCATTGATAACGCGCAGAAGATTTTCCATGGAACGGGTACGCCCTCCACTCGGTTACCTCAGCCGAAGACATGTCCAGACGATCTGTACCAGGTCATGTGCCGCTGTTGGACAAGAGAAATGGAGGAAAGACCCTCTTTCATGGAACTACACAGCAGTATAGCAGAGCGTGTGCGACTCAGTGAAGTCAGTATGGAATGTTAAAGTGCACAGAGAGGGTTGATGTTTGAGTACCAGAGGACAGTTTTGATGTGCGCCGAACAGTTTGTCGTTAACTCTGTTCACGTAGCCGGACCGAATGCTAGTATTTAGAAATGGCCCCGGCATCAAAGCAGTAGTCCTGACTTTGCGCAGCCAAGATATGATTGCCTTGGAGACAAACCTAGACCAACAAGTGAAACATTCGGTTCTACTGGGTTGGATAATTGTCTTCAAGACCCAAATTTTTTTAACATTTTTTTTGGATCATAGATTTCGACGATAATAAATTGTTTTATTGCCAATCAGTCTTTTAAGAAAACGGGAGTAATTTAGCAAACGTTTATAACAATGGACATGATCATTTATGTTGATGTTTTGAACCCTCTTACCCCCAAGATTGTCCTAGAAATTCTCCCCTCTGGCTCTTATACATATCCTCCAAAATGATCAAGGTTACACCATTTAGCTAATATTGATGTAGCAGTTCTGGGAGTTTAACTAAAGTTATCCCAACGTTTCTTGGGAAATTATTTTTTCATTTTTGTAAAGTAAGGAGAGACATTTTGTTTGATTTGTTGGAATTTTGTCTCTTTGTTGAATATTTGAAATTAAAATGCCGTTTGATATTTATCCGCAAGTCAGGTCAAGAATGATGTTCTTTGTATATTTTTGATTTTTTTGGCATCATTATTGTACAATACATTTTGCTGGGTGATGTGTTATTGACAACGAACCTTTTAGATATGACTATGTTAACATAAACATGTCATCTAACTTGAGTTTTATTTCGAATGTTCGAAAAATAAAGCATCTACGCCGTAGTATGAGTATCTTTGCAAATTTAACTAAAACTTTTTTGAAATTTGATAAATCTTTTCCATCCCGAGTCGTTCCCATTCCTCACGAGTTTACTCATCCCACCCACCCATCACAGCAAGTAATATGGGTTTTTTTCTCTGTCGTTCGCTTTTGAATTTGCAGAAATACGTCTAAATATCTCAACAAAGCTTCTTCAATACAGGCAAGTTAGTCTTTTTGCAGCTTGTCAAATTATTCGTATAACGCTTACCGTAAAATTTACAGAATTTTCATAATATTCATTTTCTTGTTGGAGACTTTCTTCGCGTGGCGGCTAATGAATCCGCTTTTGAGATTACTTTTCACTGGTAATCCCATTTTCGACTAAATCTGTCGGTAATGGAGAAACGGAGAAGGGGTGTAGCTTTACAAAGCCATCTGAATGTGGTTTTACTTCCAAAGGGGACCTTAATGCGAGTCGGTGACTTGGCTCATTAGAGCAGTTTTGGAACAGGGACAACACTGCTTCGAGGACATTCAGTTGGGGAGAAATACACCACAAAGGGAATTACGAGATTTCATTAGATTTTATTGAACGTTTGAATGACTTGTTACGAAATGGGCCAAACTATCCGCTGCCAGAACTGGGGCAGAGTGTGATATATCGTGAAATAAATATTTAGTAGGCTCGGTATAGCTCTCAAAAACACGTGGCTTCCGACTCAACCAGTGGTTGTGTTAATCTCAAGGCATACGAGTGAAACGCTGATTTATATGTGTACATGTATATATATTCGAGGAAGATTTGAGTGTATAGAGTGCAAATACTGTTTGCACAAATCCTATGTGACGTCTTGACGCGGCAAGGATCGAAAGAAAAGGTATACACGGCCAGCGTGCACTGCGTGGTCTTTACTCAGGCGATTTGGACTTGGATTCAGGAGTTAAACATTTTCTTATTTCACGGCCAATAGCGGCCGCTAGGGGCGGTGGCACCGCATTTCCGACCTAACGGGGAGAGGATCAACAATATTAGTGCATGACAGGTGGTCAAGCTGACTACGTGAGATTAAGTCCTCAAAAAGTGGGCTATCTGCTACGCAGAGTAACGCATTTGGTACAGTCAGAATTAAAATAAATAAATAAATAAACATGCCGTCTATAGATAAACCACGGTTTTCAGGGTTCTAATAGCCAATATAAGAACGTTTGGAAGCGCACAAATGACGCAACAGCGTTTTCAATTAATAACAAGGAATAATTGACAGACTGCGTGTTTATATCACCCAAGGAAAAACCACTAGGGAGCGCCCACCAGAATGACGTGGATTCCATATTTACGGACGCCATCCCCTGAGGGAAGTTTTGCTGTCACGTTCGTTGCTGTGACCCTAAATCGTCTAAAATATTTGATGTTTTCATTCTCTCGAAAGAAGCTTCAGATTTGTTTTTATACCTATTAGTATAATTTAAGTCATCTTGTGTAGTTTTTCCATCGCTTGGATTGATTCAAGGAGGTTATTTTTATTTTGCCTCGGACTAACAGGAAATTCGTTTAAATACTTTGTTAGTTGGGTCATCCAATTTATTGTGACTCACGATTTCCCTTTCGTGAATTAAGCCAGCAAAGCTACTTTTAAGAATTAACGCTTTAAAAAAAAACAAAAATACGTAACTTAAGAGTTGCAAAGCAAGTATGTTCGCGGGTGTGATAATAGAAACAACAAAAACCTCGGTTCTGTCCTGAAGAGTTTAAGGCTTATTTTGGTTCGCCGCCAAACTGGGTAAATTTCTAAGATACGCTACTTCCTGTGACCTAGCTTGATTTTCATACACCAAAATCTTGATGACAAACGCACGGCCGTAATCATTTATCCGGAAATCCCTTATAATGAGACTACAACTAAACTCGTTTGCCTTGACGGATATTGTCTTTGAAGAAACCCAAAAAACGTGTCTTTTATCTACCGAGAAGGAATAATTCACTTGTATGCCCTCTGGAGATTGAAAGAGGCGAGGCAGGGTATTGTGAGGCCAAATGATTTTTTTCGCTTTAAGAAAGGTTTTTACAAATCTCCTCGGCGGATCTAAACAGTGGTACAACTTAGGTTAAGGTCAATTAGGCCGGTATATTAAAGTAAATCAGTAAATGAGATAAGAACTTATTCTTAGTTCATCCGATAGAATAAACATCTCACTTCATTCCGCGACTGCGTTCGAAATCTATCTTTTTTCTTTATCTGTTCTACGCTTTCGGAAATTCTATATATGATGCCAAAATAAATAAACCAAAATGTGGTTGAACAATCATTCTCTTCTTATCTTTTCGTGTTTTATTCTAAACTGTTAGACGCCTTCGGGTTTTACCACTCACCTGTCGATGTTTGTCGATGATGCTTCCATAGAATCGATAAGCGTCGGGGAATCCCTGGGACCTAGCACATTCTCTCACACTGACAACTCTGTGTTGCTGTGGATGAAGGACTCGACCCTAATTAGAAGAAAGAAAGAAGATCGGACATTCCTAATTTACCACGCAAACAGAAAAGTGGTCATAAGTACTCTAAGAAATTTCTCTGTTCTGATTGTATCGTAAATGCACCTGCTGACCTGCTTTCCCATGGGCTCAGGATTCGTGATGGTTGTACTGAAGTACCCGTCCCACTCCAGTCTACCGTACAACCCCGCCCAGTGATTATGGCGGTTTCCCGTATGTGGAAGACACCATGGTATAAGAGTGTTGACCTGACGGTCAGCCGGGTCACATGGCTTGCGCTCTGCGCACGAACAAACTCCTCGTAATTCGTCGTTGGATGACCGACCGTTTTTCTTGTCATCGTGCGTATAAGCTCTGCAACGAGTGATACCACACATATTAGAATGGAAAGAACTTGTTCTACCCTCAAAGCAGGCTAGGAATTTGGTGGAACAGCTTCATGTTGGTACAGACAGCCTGTTCCGTCACAGGATTTCAAGATTTAAAAAGTAGACAGGAGGAAAAATTTAAAACGGCAGACAATGGGCACCCTCCAGACCGCTTAAGTCGTCATTCTGGTAATCTAAGTCGCTTTGAATTAATAGAGAAACCTACGACTGATACCTAGCAGAGAGCGAGGTATTGTGACAGTCTTATTCAACCAAAAGAATATCCTCTCGACTCAACTTAATAGTCAGAGAGCATATGCAGGTGTTTGCAAAAAAAAGAAGTGTTGACCATAAACGATGAGACCCAACGGCATTATGAGTTTACATAACCTCAATGATGACCTCTTCTTGGTCGTGTGCGATGAATGGTGAAAACTATCCAAGCTTTCCCAAAAGGAAAGAATTATCATGAAAGAGATTTGCCATAAAGAATGGGAAAAGTAAATATGTGTTTCTGTAAATAAACAAATACTGACAAAAAAAGCAATCAGGTCCTAGTGCTCATCGTTCATACTTTCAATGGTCAAAGTTTTTGCAATCCAGTGGAAAGATTGAAGAAAGAACATCAAAAACCAATAGAACCCATAACTCACAAAAAAAAACAATAGAACCCATAACTCACAGTTTGCTGGTGTAAGTACCGTCGGACAGACGGACGATATTATTCGGCAAATCTCTCCAGTCTGATCCTGGGGCAGTAGGAATGTGACGCATGCGTGCAGCAACGAGAGGATTCATTTCCTTACAAATGTGATCTCGAAGAACTGGCTGGTCTTGACGGCCGCGCATCTGAGAAGTAATAAACGAATGTTGCACACAATTCTCAAATGTGGGTGTAACAGTATTGCATGCCTAATCATGCATAGGGGAATCTCTATACGATTTCCTTCGTTTGGACAGAGTCCTCTGTTGCCATGTAAATTATTCTCAATGAGAAGCCTCGGAATAACAAGTTTTATTTTCTTTAGGTAATACAAACTAAGAAAGTAAGAGAGAAATTCATATATTTAAAAAAAATTAAACTGCCCTAAATCAAGATCTGGACTTGCTGTTCAGGTTGCTCTGTGACTGGTTGAAAACTTGCTCTATCTTCATGAATTAATCATGTTTCAATTTTCCTCACTTGTTGAAAACTTTCCTTTATTAAACTCAATACAACTAAAAAAGTGTAGGTGTGAAATGTATACAACATAGAGGAGAAAGTGTCAAAACTCTTACTTGTCTTTGAAAATGAGAAATCGAATCGCCATTGTAAGAGATCTCATCATTAGACGCGCCATTCCTTATCTCCGGAAGATCTGACATGGCGTCCCGTACAGTGATTGTTCGGTAGGGAGCCGATGATAGCCGAGTAATGTTCGATTGGAACTGGAAAAAAGAGACAAAGGCGCTGGAGGTTAGGGAGGCACAGTGCACTGTATTTTGTCACATAAAAATGAATCGATGCAAGATGTAATTACTTTCTTATCGTCCACCATGACCGTGAGTTGAATGGCCCGAGGAGAAAAGCAGTGTGTCGGCTCAGGGTAGAGCGGTAACACTTCACCTGGAGCAGCTGCCATAATAATGGCCCTGAAATATGACATAAAAGCAAGTTTAAAACACACCCTCTAATTCACGCTAGCAAATACACAGACGTACAAGCTTCATCATCAACAACAACAACGTTTAAGTTTAACACGTTACCATTCACAACGTTCCACCAATGGATTGATGTG